TGGCTGTCCCAGCAGGTTCCAGGAGGATCCAAGCCCATCCCTGCCCTGTCAGGGTTTATTTTTATTCCACACTTCAGCCTTGGTCCCAGAGCCCTCTGAGCCCCAAGCCAGCCCAAGTGAGACAGATGTTATGAAATCCTTGGAGGAGGCTCTGAGCTGCCCCCAACTCTTGGCTTCCAGCTCTCAAAGATTGGATTTTAACTCTGCAGTGACGATGGATTAACCCATCCACTCCTTCCAGAGCTTCTGGCATCCTCCAAGTGCTTGATTTCCTTTGATTTTCCTGGTTTCTCTCCTCCATAGCACCATTCAGAGTTGTGTCAGTGCAGTTCCTGTCCCCTGCCGCTGGTGCAGGACAGTCCCTCCCCTTGGGAGCCCTCCCACATCCCTCCCTTCCCAGCTCCTCTCCTGCTATAAATAATCATGCAAAATTAGTCAGCTGGAAGCTGCTCGAGCTTGTAAACAACCTCACACAGGCACATCCAGCGAGCCTGGATCACACACAGGGCAGGCAGAGCTGTGTCTGGGGTACAGGAGGCTCTGCAGCCACCACAGTGGAGAAAAAGCTCCTGTCTGTCCAAGAATTAACAAAATAATCACTGAAACATTGCCCTGCTCCTCACAACTCCGTGTTTTGCCCACATGGAGCTGGCCCTACAGTCAATCAGGCCTGTTCAGTGTAATTACCCCTAAATCATGCAGTGATTTCTTCCACCCTGTAATTACTATCAACATTTAATTGCTGGGCCCTCTATGTAATTACAGATTATTTGTGTGTTTAAAAAAAGTGAAGCTTTTTCCATCACACAGAATTTTCTCCTCCTTGGGGCTCTTGCACCTGACTGGGTCCCTCAGCTCCCTGACCACAAGAGCTGCTCCTGCCTGGATTAACCCCTTCCCTCCCACCTCTCTTGGCTGCAGATGGAATTGCCCTAAGGCCACCTGGCAGCTGCTCTGCCACACCTGGACATCACCTGCAGCACAGGAGGAATGGGACAAGCACAGCCCCAGGCTCTACAGACACTGCTTAAATGGCATTTTTAGCACAAGGGCACCGTCCTTCAGCAAGAACTAAGGAGGGAGCAATAAACAACAGGACAAAAATTCAAATATTTTATCCACCCACCCTCCCTGGGGAAGACCAAGCAGTTTTGGGGTCCAGGTCTCTGTGTGGAACTAACTCCAGTACCATTAATTCCTGTTTTTACAATCCCTGATGGATTTGGGGTTGGAAACCAAACTGATGACAGTCTCTCTTTCTGCTTGCTGTGCCCACTGTCCCACATGTGTAAGGCAGGTAATTCCTGAATCAACACAGATCCTCTCACGATGTTTGATTTGCATCAAAATATAAGGCAAAACATGGAAGAAGAGATGTAATTTCAGTGTCACTGTTACTCTTTTCCAGGGGAAGTTTACCAATGCAGCACAGATTGGTTTTTCACAGGAGTAACCATGAAATGAACCAATCACACCTGTTGAATTGCAAACATCCCAGAATTCCACACCTACAGTGTCCCATGCCTGGAAAACAAACTGAAAATGAGGGAAAACACCTGAATACAGAGGCTTATCAGGAAGAAGTCCAAGGCACTTGCATTCTAGCAGCCATTTTTTGTTTTATTATTTAAAGTTAAGAGCGCTCATCAGCTCACAAAGGAACAAATCCCATTCCTGCAGTTTAGTTCAGGTTTCAGCCAAAAGGAAAAAACAAAAAATAGAAGGCAGCTAAACTAACTCTGCACTTTACAGCTCAATTCAAGTTAAACCTCCTCGCTTTATAAATAAATGTTATAGTTAACACTGCAAAATGTACTGGCAGATCTACAATACCTTGAAGGGGCAGAGAGCGTGGTTATTGAGGCTGATAAATACAAGTAGAGAAGCTTCAGTAGCACAGAGAGCGAGGCTGGGGCCAGGGGTGTGCTCTCCCTCCCAGGTGGGCCTTTCCCAGAGCTCCAGGCAGCTGCTCCCCCTCTCAGCTGTGCTTCCCACCCTGCTCAGGGCCAGGCAAGGAGCCACAGGCTGCCCATCACCGCCTGCATGAGGACAAACTGCTGGAAACTCTTTGTTTTCCACCACGGAGGGGTCTGCTCATAGAGGCAACAAACCTGCCCTGAGACTACAGAGTTAAAAACAAGGTGTGTGCAGATCCTCATTAAAGGAAGGAGCTTGCCCAAACAGCAGCCAGGTGAGATTTCAAATTCCACCTTGGAAGTAGCACCATCCTCAGTGAAGTTACAAAAAAAAAATTAAAAAAA